TTGTTTTCGTTTTCTCTTCTTTTGCTTTCCCTAAATGCAATGTGGAAGGAAACAAGGAGTTGGGAACTATCAGACCAGTCTCTGGAAATTCAGTTTTCCTCTATAAAATGGAAAGGAACAACTCCAAAGTCAGGTAATAACCAATTAAGGGGCAGAAAAACATGAAGAGTGACTCGGGGTTTCTTGTTACTGTTCCTGCCCCCACACAAAATTTCTACATGTTGCAGCCTTTATTAGACCACAATGAAGTGTTTCCCTTAATGGAGGAGGTTCCAGATACCAGCCAATGGCAGTTGCCCTAAAGCTCCAAAGGCAGCTGTGATCTTGATCTGATAAAACTCTTTATTGGGTTCACTTTGCTCTTCTGACTTTGAGTGGGAATGTTTGGCCTCATCTCTGAAATACTGATCTGTCAGGCATTGCAGTAAACTTTGAAGAATGCACACTCTGAACTTCATTGGCTGTTACCTGTGAGGTGACAGACAAATTGAGTCTCCTTGAACTCTGTGACTAGAATCTACAAGAAAACAAAGTGTTGTGGTTTGCAAATTTTAATAGAATCAGTAATGGGAAATGGCATGTAAACTTGGACTAGTCTCTGTATCCTGGGCGCTTCATTTTCTCTGTGTGAAACACTTCTTCACGGCATTGCTTGTATTAAAGGAACCATGTAAACACCCCACCCAATGCCTACTATACAGTCAATACTCATATTTTTGCTGGTATTATCTTTATCAAGTGTAATAGTTGTGAGGTAACAGTTGGGAAAGATGACTTCAGCAAGGTTATGCTCCCTGGACCAGTCACAAAAGTAGTCTTTCCTAATAGCATAGCCAGAAGCTAAAGGTAGCTGGAAAGTTAAAGAGTTAGGTTGAGGGAAGGCTCTGTTGCTTGTAGCCCCTTGACATCTCTTCTTGGCCTGAATCTTGAATATTCACTTGTACTGGGCCCATTCTCTAGCATCCTCTCTGGGTATGTGGCTATGACTGTCTCATGGAAAAATGTTTCCTCTGGAATCCCCAGGGGAGAGAACATTGAACATAACAAGCTGTAATGCAGTGGATCTCTGAAATCTTCTGATGCTCCAGAAAGATAGCAATGAGACAGGCATATCTGGCCAGGGAATGTCTTTTGTGCAAAATGGTTTCTAAAGCTTGTGGTGTCACCTCTACAGAGTCCCCTTTTCTTTTTAGTTTATGTAGGAGAAATCCAGCCAAAAGAGTCCTTCCCAACCCTTACCCTGCCTAGGTAGGGGAAGCTTTCTGGTACATTCTCCTCTGACTACCAGCTTATGTTAGGTCCCACAGGCCTTCCTTTAGGTTTTGTGGACCAGAAATTAAAGGGAAGCTGTTTCTCAAAATTATCTGGGAAATGATTAACCTGTTTCCTTTGATGCTTTCCGGCTTGTGTGAGGGCGGTCAAGTAGCAAGGGTGGAGAATGTATTCTATTTTCAACATTGCTAAGGTAAGCAGTGGAAAAAAATTCAGTTGCTAGAGAGGTTCAACTCTATTTGGAGGGTTTGAAGGCATGTGTGTATATGTATGTGAGTGTGTCCTTCTCTAAAGTGGCACTATTCAGAAAAAAACAAAAAAAAAAACATGGCCATTTCTTCTAACTTTTCCTTTCTCTTTTTTTTTTTCTTTTCCATTTTTTTAAGGTCTGAATTTCCTGCTGCTATTCACAAAGATGCTTTTTATCTTTAACTTCTTATTTTCCCCACTTCCAACCCCGGCACTGATCTTCATCCTGACATTTGGAGCTGCTATCTTCCTGTGGCTAATTAACAGACCTCAGCCAGTCTTACCTATTACTGACCTGAACAACCAGTCTATTGGAATTGAGGTAACTTACCAGTCATCCTTTTAGTTTATCAACCTTGATTGGATACAAACTGTAATTCGAAATCTGGGGTTAACTCACAAAAGGGGTTGGGAAGGTACAAAGGGTCTTCAGAAAGTTCATGGAAAATGTGCATTATAAGAAAACAACATGAGAATTTCTGTATTTTTGGGGCACCTAAAAAACTCCTCATACTGTAATTCCATTTTTCCATAAACTTTTTGAAGTCTTCTTGTAAATCTTTTCAGTTACCTATCAATAGACTATCTACAAATTTAAACTTCTAATACTGTCACTTTCTCCTTTGTAATAAAAATTAAATCACAGTTAGGTCTTATGATCTCATTAATCTACATCAGGAGGTGATAAGCTACAGCCCAAAAGCAAAATTCCCCTTTTTTGTGCAATTAGCATTTCTCTATGTCTTTAAAGAGATAGAAAAGGGAGGAAGAAGAAAGGAAAGAAAGAAGAAAATAAGGAAGGAAGGAAAAGGGGCAAGTCAAATATGTTCTACAATGCCTGGAATATTTAGCCTTTTTAGAAAAAGTTTGCAGATCCATGATCTAGATGATAGGGTCATACTTTGGGGAAAGGAGAGCTTTCTCAATGAGCTACCCAATCAATGTCTGAGAATAAAGAAGTTATTTTCTTGAGAGCCAGCTGTGTGGTAGTACAGAGGTAATGTAATGCTCCATAATTCTGGACCCACATAGCAAGGTCCCAGATTCATGTCCTGAGACCTCCCTGTACACATATGAGGCACAGTATGCCCATGATCTGCGCTGACTGGGGCTAGAGGGTGGACCATGTGTGAAGACCCTATGGAGGGTGCTTGTCTCTTTCTTTTTCTCTCTTGCTTTGTCACTTAGGTTCTCTCTCTCTCATGGAAGAAATAAATTGACTAGGTAAACTTTAAAAGAAAGAAGTCATTTTCTTGAGTTAAATTCTAGCTCTGAGCTATTACTGACTCTTCTAAAAACTGACCGAAGTTGAACTGGGCTTATTCCCCTGACTTTCAGCAAACTACTTCAATTCCTGCATCTCTGAGCAAACTGAAAGTTCTAAGCATGTTCTCTCCATCTTTCTTTCCTTCTCCTTCCATGAATATCTTCATCTTTTTCATCTTTCTTTGCAGGCTAACCCCTTTCTGTTCATTTATAATCTTTTTTTATCTGCTCAGGAATCTTATTCAAAGTTACCTCCACTCTCCCCCCACCCTCTTTTGGTCCTTTTGCATGTTCAATTTCTTCACTGGCATCTTGTTATTATGGTGATTTATGTCACTATCTGCTCTCAATCCTCCCCTTTCTCATTAAAGTGTGTTTTAATTGCCAAAGGGCAAATGCACTTGCCAGACAGAGGGGGAGTGCTGCATGGTATCCCTCAGAGCTGCATGGTAATGAACCACTCCCTACTCCACACTCCTTTCTGCTCCATTTCTCCATCCTGCCTGGGTTCTGTGCATGCACATACATGTGCCTACCATGATTTTCATGGATTGGAACCATAGTTTTCCATGCCTTTATGACCAGGCTATAGGACCAGCCCTCCTACCAAAGTTCTCTAAGACTAGTCTGTTGATTTTTGATTCTGAATTTCAATCTGTGGAGTTTCCTACCACCTTCTCTCTTCCAAAGTGCCCCGGGCCATTTATCATCTAACTTCCAAATTCTATAATTTCTTAACTTTTCTCTCAATTGACTTGAGACTTCTTTCTTGAAACTCCTCCTTTTGTGTTTTATAATATCTTTCAATGAGATTTCTTCCTAACTCCAAGACAGGCTTTCTTTGTCACTTAGGTTCTTTCTTCTTCTCATCCTAGGGTTTCATTTTCAGCATCTATTGATTACTCTGAAGTGAGGATTAGCAAACTTCTTCTGTAAAGGTCAGATAGTAACATGGTTAAGGTTTTGCAGATCAGGTGGGCTCTTCACCAGCTATTCAAAGCCATTGTTGGAGAATGAAAGTACCAGACACTCTGTAAACAAATGAGCATGGCAGTGTTCCAGTACAGCTTTATTTATAAAAGCAGATGGCAAAGAAATAAATTGACTAGGTAAACTTTAAAAGAAAGAAGTCATTTTCTTGAGTTAAATTCTAGCTCTGAGCTATTACTGACTCTTCTAAAAACTGACCGAAGTTGAACTGGGCTTATTCCCCTGACTTTCAGCAAACTACTTCAATTCCTGCATCTCTGAGCAAACTGAAAGTTCTAAGCATGTTCTCTCCATCTTTCTTTCCTTCTCCTTCCATGAATATCTTCATCTTTTTCATCTTTCTTTGCAGGCTAACCCCTTTCTGTTCATTTATAATCTTTTTTTATCTGCTCAGGAATCTTATTCAAAGTTACCTCCACTCTCCCCCCACCCTCTTTTGGTCCTTTTGCATGTTCAATTTCTTCACTGGCATCTTGTTATTATGGTGATTTATGTCACTATCTGCTCTCAATCCTCCCCTTTCTCATTAAAGTGTGTTTTAATTGCCAAAGGGCAAATGCACTTGCCAGACAGAGGGGGAGTGCTGCATGGTATCCCTCAGAGCTGCATGGTAATGAACCACTCCCTACTCCACACTCCTTTCTGCTCCATTTCTCCATCCTGCCTGGGTTCTGTGCATGCACATACATGTGCCTACCATGATTTTCATGGATTGGAACCATAGTTTTCCATGCCTTTATGACCAGGCTATAGGACCAGCCCTCCTACCAAAGTTCTCTAAGACTAGTCTGTTGATTTTTGATTCTGAATTTCAATCTGTGGAGTTTCCTACCACCTTCTCTCTTCCAAAGTGCCCCGGGCCATTTATCATCTAACTTCCAAATTCTATAATTTCTTAACTTTTCTCTCAATTGACTTGAGACTTCTTTCTTGAAACTCCTCCTTTTGTGTTTTATAATATCTTTCAATGAGATTTCTTCCTAACTCCAAGACAGGCTTTCTTTGTCACTTAGGTTCTTTCTTCTTCTCATCCTAGGGTTTCATTTTCAGCATCTATTGATTACTCTGAAGTGAGGATTAGCAAACTTCTTCTGTAAAGGTCAGATAGTAACATGGTTAAGGTTTTGCAGATCAGGTGGGCTCTTCACCAGCTATTCAAAGCCATTGTTGGAGAATGAAAGTACCAGACACTCTGTAAACAAATGAGCATGGCAGTGTTCCAGTACAGCTTTATTTATAAAAGCAGATGGCAACATGCTGGGCGTGTATGCGTGTATGCCCAAAATCCCAAGAGGAGCATGGAGGAAAAGGGACTGTAGCATGACCATCCTCCCTGTGAGGTGATTTCTCACTTTCTCTCTCTTTTGTATCTGTTTCTTTCCAGCAAGCACATACATCCTATAGGGGAAAAAAAAAAATCTCACATAGTCTACTGTGGTTTAAGTCCTGGACCTGGTGGCTTAAAACTCATGTTGGGCACATGTGCATGTATGCCCAAGATCCTGAGAGGAGGCTGGAGGAGAAGGGATTGGGGCATGGTCACGCCCATTTCTCCCTTTCTGTCTGTTTCTCTTTGTCTCTCCAGTAAGCACACTTGCCCATAGTTTAAAAATAAATATCTCTTAAAAACAAAACAAAACAGGTTGGCAGGTGGCATGGTGATTAAGGGCACTAGACTCCCATGTGGCTGACCATGGTTCAAGTCCTGGACCTGGCAGCTTGCTTTCTCACTTTCTTTCTCCCTCTCTCCCTCTCCCTCTCTAGTCAAACTAAAATTAATTAAATAAAGTTAAATAAAATAATTCTTTAAAAAAAACCTCAAACAGACAAATAACAACAAAGAAGAGTGGGCCATAGATTGTAGTCTGTCATTCCCTACTGTAAATCCTCACAGTTGAAAATGCCTCCTCTCTTACGACTTGAAAATTCCCTAAAGATTGTGCACCCTAATCTGAAATTTTAGCTCTGACCTCAGTGATAATACTCAAGCAACTCAAGCTCTGTAAATCTCTACTGTGGATCCTCTCCCTACACACACACACACACACACACACACACACACACCCTTTCCTGTTCTAGCCAGTTAAACGTATCTCTTTTTATTCCTCTGTTGTCTAGTTAAGAATCTGAATCGTCTTTGATTCTTCCTTCTTTTCCCCATGCATGTAAACAGATAAGGCCCTGTCTCCTTCACTAGACAAAGACTTTTATTTTATTTATTTATTTATTAACTGTAGTTCTCATTGTATTGTTAAATATCTCTTTCATCCTATATATCTTCTTTATTGGGCTCATTTATTTAATTTTTTTTTTGCTGTAATTTCTTTAGTTTCCTTTTTTTATTTCATTTTATTTACATTCAATCACATTATTTGGCTTACAAAATGGATATTTCAACAGGTGAACATTTCTCCCTAGTACAGTTGAATAATTATCTTTGACAGATAATACCACATTATTTTTGATAATTTGCCTTAATGTGACATTGTATAGAAATGTTCCATGATGTGCTAGACTAAGTCAGATCCTTTGTTACAGCCTCAAGTTACCCTTATACTTTTATAGCCCTTATCTGTACTTGTAATTTACATTTTTGAATGCTTAATTAATTGATACCATTCCTCTTCAGATGACTTTTCCTGAGAATTAGACCATGCCTGCAGCCTCCATTACAGCTGTAGGGCCCATCCCCGAGTGTGCTCCTCCATCTCCCACTGCTCCCTCTGGTCAGAGACCTTATTCCTGGTTGCCTACCTGGCTCTGCAATGTGTTTTCTTGCCTCCTTGCTTTGTTTAGACCGCTCATTCCCTCTGAATTGTTGTTCTTTGTTCTTTCCTACCCAAATCATATCTTTTTGGTAATTCCTATTTATCTTCAAAGTCTCTATTGAAATATTACTTCTTCTCTGCAATTATTCTACTGAATACAGGACTGTTCGCTTCATTTGTTTCCAAATAATGTATTTCATTTTACTGAAGCATGTGCATTATAGTGTTTGCTGGCTTTTCTCTCTTCACCTTCCCACACACCCAAACGCTGGTTTATGAGGTGCTCAAGGGCAGCTATTGTGTCTTTGCTCATATCAACATTATTTTCACAGTACCTGGAATACATAATGGTCATTTAGTAGCTGTTAAACTTAATATGATTTTAAAAAAAATACATAAAATGACACATTTAATCTCTCCTCTGTATACATATAGGTTGAGTGTCCCTTATCTGAAATGTTTGGCACTAAATTATTTTGGGTATTTCCACATCTTTGAATATTTGCACGTACATAATGTGATATTTTGGAGATGAGACCCAATTTGATCACAAAATTTGTTTCATATATTCCTTTTACATTATGGCCTGAAGGTAATTTTAGACAATATTTTTGTATTGCAGCATTCTGATTGTAACTCATCAGATGAGGTCAGATGTGGAATTATCCACCTCATGGCATCTTGTTGGAGCTCAAAAAGTTTTGGATTTTGGAATGTTTTAGATTTTAGATTTTTGGACTAGGGATGCTTAACCTGTTTATACACATGTATGCTAGGAGTTACCAAAAACATAACTGTGACAATCTCTGGTGGTGGGATTACAGATCAAATTGTCTTATGTCTTCTTTAAATTTTTATATTTTTCAAAATTTCTATGATGTGAACTATAATTTGAAGGTTTTAAAAACTGATTGAAGTTACAGCAATGTTTTCCTTGTTATTCAAAAATCTACATTTGTGTTCCTTTCAACTGAACCCATAAAGATTTTAGTAAGGGTGGGGAGAGACTTGGACTTGGCCTAAACTTAGTCTTGTGTCTTAGGGAGGAGCACGGAAGGGTGCATGCCAGAAGAACAATGACCTAATACGTTACTACTTCTCAGATGCCAAGACAGTGTATGAAATTTTCCAAAGAGGATTTGCTGTGTCTGGTAAGCTTGGTACTGTGGCCTTGCCTGTAAGAAGACTAAGGTGGGGTCTGATATACATCTCTTCTTTGCTATCTCACTTCTAAAACTCCAGCTATTTAAATGTCATGGCTGAGTAGAACTGCAGTACACAAAGTAGAGGGAACATTAGCACAACATCAGGGTGAATGCAGGAAACAGCATCAGACAGACTTGGATTTGAAATCCACTTCTTTCATTCCCAGCTGTGTAATTGTGTAAACCACTCTGCTTCTCTCAATCTGTTCCTTACATAACACAAGAATTCTCAGCCAAGTTGTCATTAAAAATCAATTACATAATATTGTGTAGGACCAGCAGATGATCTGGAAGTTAAGGCAGCTAGATCCCATGTGGCCAACAGTACAATTTGAGTCCCAGACACAGCGGCTTAAAAATTACACCAGATGCATGTGCATACATGCCCAAAATCCCGAGAGGAGGGTGGAGAAAGGATTGCGGTATGGCCATCCCTCTGGGGGGGATGATTTATCATATTCTTTCTCTCTTCCCAGTGACTGCATGTACACTGTAACAATCAATCAATCAATCAATAAATAAATAAATAAATTGTAGGAAAGCATTTTGATTAACTTAATATTGATAGTATATTACATTTACTTAGGAAAAAAAATATATATATATATATATTTTTAAGCTGGGGGCACATATGTATACATGTATGAGAGAGAGAGAAAGCACCTTCCAAGATACTTGCCAGAAGAACAATGACCTAATATGTTACTACTGGCTGGTCATGCCATAATCCTTTTTCCTTCAATTCTCTATCCTCTCGGGGTGTGTTTTTCAAGTAAGTCAGGGTCAGGACTCAAACACTGGGCAACCATGTGGGATCTGGCTCTCTATGATCAGTACCTAACTGCTGTGCTATGAGGCCAGCATAGATATTTTTCATAAATGCAATTTCCTACATTTATAGATAGAGAATCTGAGCCAGGACTAACAGTCAGGATTTCTGACTTCTTACCTTGTTCTTGACTTCACTGCCATACTTCACTGGTCCATGCTTCCACTCTTATTATCGCAGAAAGAATTAACTTTGGACTTTCTTAGAAACACCATCAGATGGACTTTAATAAGTTCATTTGGAGTAAACAAATCTTGATATTTATATCTTATATCACTGAAAACAACTCTACACTCAGAAGATTCTTTTCAAAATCAATTGGTTTATAGATCTCTCTATATACACGTTTTTCTTTTGGTTGACATTCTGTCCAGGTTTGTCTATGTGACTTTTTATTTCTCTCTTCCCTTCTGCCCATGTGACTTCCTTTTTCCTCTCTTCCCTTCTGTTACTAAATATGATGATATTAATCACCAACTCTCCCAAGTGCTAACTATGTAATAGATACTGTGAATATATTATTTACTTAATATTTCTGAACCCTGAGTATTAGTTATTACCACTTCCAGTTTTACAGATAAGGAAGTGGATACCTATAGGTTCAGGGACATAGAAATAGAAAATATTCGAGCTGACAGTGAAATCTAAGTTTGTCTGTTTGACTAGATTGTTCTGTTTAGGTCAGTTCTCAAGAGCTTTATAAAAGTAGTTACTCTCCAGACCCTGAAAGGTTTATTATATAGAAAACTATCTGAAGCCCTGTACTTAGTATTTCTGGCCCCATATCGGAATTTGTTTAGACTTCCATGCAAATAACACACAGAAAATCAACCAAACATTAATTTCTTTACTTTTCTGGCAACTAAAAATAGCATATAGTTAATACAATAGAATTTCCTTTGGGATTTTCTGTTTGTGGAAGTTTCCTTCATTTAGCATGTGTTGTTATTGTGATTAGAAACAAGTCATTTAGCATGTGATATGAGGCACATAAGATATTTTATTTAGGATTTTTTTTTTTTTTACTATAAAGTTGAAACTAAAGCAGTAAGGTTAAAATGGCTTCTCATGTAAGCAGGCATGAGAAACCTGTCTTGGCAACTTCTATAGAAAAATAACACTTTGAGTCCTATCTGGAGTTAAATATATCATCCCTAATATGTCGTTTTAACCCATCCATCCAGCAAATGTCAATGATGAGAATCTTCTGTGGATGATGTCTAAAATATGTATCCTCTGATTCCACCTTTGTTTCACTGACTCAGAATATCAGATGATGAAAACTAAAATTTCCCAGGAAGTTTCACTTATTTTTTTCTAGAGGGTGCTTACACTTGCCAGAGAGAGAAAGAGACGGAAAGAGAGAAAGAAAAGAAAATGCTCACTACCACCCCCACAGAAAAGCAAACCCTCAACCCATAGAGAATGGTCACACTGCAATCCCTTCTCCCACAGCTCTCCGCTCCTTTGGGGATTTTGGGCACACATGCACATGCACCTGGCCAGTGTGTTTCTTAAGCCACCAGGTATGGGATTTGAACCAACAGTCATTTGGGATCTGGCTGCCTTAACAATTAGATCACAGAGGTGGGCCAAAGATTTGTATTCTTAACAAAGCTTTCTGATGATTCTGCATATCAGAGTTTGAACTCTATTTAGCTTAGGATAGCAATGTTGTCAGGAAGTTGTTAATGGGTAGATCACTTTGTAGATGGCTACATTTTAAGACAAAATGAGATCTAAGCTGAATAAGTTAATCAAAAACTAGGTTGTTGCCTGGGACCAGCAGTTAGCATAATGGCTATGTTGCTGGACTCCCACGTAGTCGACCACAGTTCGTGTCCTGGACCCGGTGGCTTAAAACTCACGCCGAGCGCGTGTGCGTGCATGCCCAAGATCCTGAGAGGAGAAAGGAGGAGAAGGGATTGCAGCGTGGCCATCCCCCCTGGGGGTGATTTCTCGCTTTCTGTCTCTCTGTCTCTCTCTGTCTGGTGAGCGCACGTGCCCTGTAGCAAAAAACTCTAAAAAAAAAATAAAAGACTAGGTTGTTGCCTGATCAGCATTTGGTTAATAGACTGCCAATTATGAGGGAGCAGAATTTAATGAGATCTGAGTTGCTGCCCCTTAAAGCCAATTATTTTACTTGTTTCTTGGCCACAGTCCTCTGTTAGCATTTTAATAGGAAATAAGATATAGTATAGTATCTTCCACATTCACTATGTCTATCACTTATTGGATGAGCTTGAAGAAGTGTCCACATCTTAATAATTTTTAATAAAATGAGAATAATAATATTAGGAAGGTCAAATGAGATTGATGTACCTTGAGTGAAGTAAGCATTAATAAATGGTAGCTATCATTTGTAATTAATGTTAGTGTAAGCAATCTCATTGGCAAACCACCAGAGGCATATACCTCTGACCCACTGACAAAGCTTCAGGGAAAATTATAATCTGACACTTGACTTCTTGAGTTTTCATGTAGCTGTTTCAACAGAAAGAAGAAGTACTAAAATTTCCTGTGGATGGTCTTCTCATTTATTTTAATATCTCTTTGATCAGAGTAGCTGTCTCTTTCCTGCTGTTCTTCCATCACTTGGTCTAGAAGTTCACTTATCTGCCTCTGAATTCTTAGTAACACTTTCAGAAAACTTCCTTTTGGCAAGACTTTAATTCCTCTTGCCAATTTGGCTAGATCTTCTTATAAAATTTCCTTCTCTTCTGCTTTCCTATTTATAACTCAGCTGCATTTTGGCTTAGATATGTGGACTTCTCAGTCACTTAGCCTAATATCACAACTTCCATGGTTTAGCATTAAGAGCCAAAATAACTATTTACTCTGGTATATGGGTGTTCCTAGATATATTTTAATTTTAAATAAGCTCAATAGTTCAGATGTTCAGAAGTATAGTTTGTCTGTTATGGAATGTAAAACACACGTTGAAAAAACATTGAAGACAAATGTTTGTGTATACGCAGGTATGTGTGTATGTTCATGTAATTCTTGATGAGCCTTGGTAATTTAGAAGATATGCCCATGTAAGTGGGAGTGTACATGAACAGATGATTTATGAGAGTAAAAGAAACCTAATGAATAAGGAAAAAGGTCCTACTTTATTAGCTTTTAAAGAAACTTAGACTGGGACCAGCAGTTAGCATAATGGCTATGCCGCTGAACTCCCATGTAGTCAACTGTGGTTCAAGTCCTAGACCCGGTGGCTTAAACTCACACTGGGCACGTGTGCCTACATGCCCAAGATCCCAAGAGGAGAATGGAGGAGAAGGGATTGCAGCGTGGCCATCCCCCATGGGGGGTGATTTCTCACTTTCTGTCTCTCTATCTCTCTCTGTCTCTCTGGCGAGCGTCCGCACCTTGTAGCAAAAACCTCTCCCCCGAAAAAAAAGAAACTTAGACTAAAATAATAAGTTCTAAAAACCATCAGACCAAAAGACATTTTTAAAAGACACAACTATCTATGAGAGAGTGATAAAATGTGATATGCTACTGATGGGAGAAGAGTAAATTGTCACAAGTACGCTATTGAGCAGTGCAATGCTCAGCATCAAAAGCCTGGCTGTTCAGGCCTTCCTTCCTTCCCAACCCACTTATTTCATTTTAGGGACTCTTTTTCAAGAAAATGTTAAAAATATGGCATTATCAACTTGGAAGTACTTACTGTTTCATTATTTAAGTTGTCAAACTTGGAAACTATCTATTAGATTGTCGGCAAAGTCATGGTGTACTTTTCTGTTTTACTATGCAAACAATGTTTCATGACTTTCCCTTTTTTACCAAATTCTACAATTAGCTAAAGTCAAATACAGTAGAATCAGCCCTTCATTGATTGGCCACTGCAATCTCATAGAGAAGAAATAATCACACAGGAATAGTTATATCTAATTAGGCAGGAAGCAGGATACCAAATTATTATATTCATTCTATTAGGTTTTTGGGAAAGTCATGACATATTTTTCCATGTTTTTCTATGCAAAAAAGCATCATGACTTTCTCGATGGCCCAGTGAATATGTGGAATGAACATAACTCTAGATCCATGCAAAGGAAGGAAACATCAATGTTAATAATGGTATCTGTGTGATAAGATTGATGATCTACATTTTATTTTTCTGTATTTTTATGAGTGTACACTTATTATAGGGAAGTTCAACCCAAGATTATTGTTTACCGGCTATTTGTGTTTACTTGTAGGCTATTACTTGGCCATGTGACATAGGCTAGTCCATATCAACAGCCATCTCTGAATGCCTATATTACCATGGAGGTCACATATTCAACACTGAACCATCCTTGTTTTGTAGCATTCCCTAAATATTTTAAGTTTAGTTTATAAGATTCTCTGCCTTTGAGAACTAAGTACTTCCTGCCTTTAATTACCTAGGCACATAAGCTCAAATTCATGCTGGCTTATCCTTTGTGTCTTGACTCTTCTTATTCCTTTTATTTTCTCTGGTCCAAAGGAGTCACAACTGGAATTGACTTTCTTTTAATGTTATATTTTTAGACAATGGTCCCTGCTTGGGATATAGAAAACCAAACCAGCCCTACAGATGGCTGTCCTACAAACAGGTAAGTTAGGCCCATGGTTTAAATTCCTTTGTGAATATAGTATCCTAAGCTAATTTGGCCTCTTTCGGGTCTTGACTTCCGTATTTTTTCCTCTCTGTCTGTCTCTCTTGCAGGTGTCTGATCGAGCAGAGTACCTGGGATCCTGTCTCTTACATAAAGGACATAAGCCATCACCAGACCAATTTATTGGCATCTTTGCTCAGAATAGGCCAGAGGTAACCCCACTGAAGTTAACTAAAGGAAATAAGTCAGGTTTAAGTTTAAAGACTTTAATCCTAGACCCAATCCTGCATTCTGATACTTGCTGATGACTTACCAAAGCTATTTAAAAATTTCATACTGCTTATTCTTCGGCTTGAAAGAGTTACAATTCAGAGCCTCCTTAATTTCTGGTTGAATATCCAGTGCTCTAGTCTAGGAAACTGTACTGCTCTTATTTCCCTGTCCCTCAAGGGTCATTTTAAGTCAGTCTGATTGTTATATGAGGAAAATAATAAAGCTATGAGGGACTGCCAAATAAGATCATGAAGACATTTTGAAAGGGATGTGTTAGTATTAAAACTGGAACTTGCATGTCGTATTTTGAACTGGTAAACCAAGGCACCCATTTCTATTGAGTCTAGCCAAAGCCACCTTTCCACAGTGAGTTGGAAGGAGGTTTTAGACATTAGGATGACTGGAATTAAACTTATCTCCAAGTTCCAGTTAAGTAAGTAGGTCCGATATTTTCAGGGAATGTCTGGTTTATATGCTCACCAGAGCCAGTTGCTTAAGCAAGATTTTTGGGATAATCCTAAAAATTTGGGAGGGCCCTGGCTTTACTTTTAGGTGAGTCTTCATGCTCCATTTTTGTTACACTCAGCCTCAGC